GAGAGAGAGAGAGAGAGAGAGAGAGAGAGAGAGAGAGAGAGAGAGAGAGAGAGAGAGAGAGAGATCTTTGTGTCTGTCTGGCCGTGTGACGAACTATTTTCTGTAATCGCATGACTTTCTACTAGAAGCTGTTTGGGGAAGATACGACGGGCCGGATGGGTGAACTGTGGGAAGATAGGTCGGACAAGCAAGTTGCATGGATGTCCTCATTTTCTTTTCGTTTTTGCTGTAAGTTGTCGGATCGGTGTCGGGAAAATCCCGTGCCAATGGTTGGGTAGCCGCGCCTTAGGGAGCGCAAGAAATAACTGTACCATAGTTTCTTTCTTGTTCTGCTGTGAGCACTGAGAATTTTGACGCGATCAGCGAGCGGGAATATCGTTTTTGAATTTTCAACTGATGTCAAGCCCCCACGGGCTCGCGGAATTGTTTTTCTTTTCTGCTTTTTCGGAATTCCCTTTTGCAATTAGGACTAAGGTTATGAAGTTAGGTACTCTGAATTTCGTTGCGCCGCGCTTGCGAGCATCTTGCCGTGCTAGGAACGGGGCTCTGACCGGATCGCGCCCTTAATCTTGTGTAACTATCATTCTTGGCGGGCGGGATTGCAACTGTATCTTTCTTCTTTCTTGGTTTCCCTCATGTTTGCCCGCCTTCTCCTTCTTCCTCGTCTTACGTGCTCTGTTCTAGTTGGCCGGAGCGCCTGCATGACCGGATCGATGCGTGGAGTGTGGCTACGACCCCCACGCCACAGCCTGGCCATGCAGACGTAGGCACTTCCTCTCTTCTCTTCCTATCCACCTGGGCTTAATCCCGTACCTTTCCCGCAGGCATGCAGGCTATAAATTTAGCAAGTGCGATTAGTTTGCTCTCTAAGAATTTTGAGGTTAGCGCGATCAGTGAGGGTCGTCTAATGAGCAAGTTGAAAGGTGAGTGAGTAGGAGAGTTGGGCGATCCGACGAGCTGGTGATAAGTATGCGCGGTTGACGTGCGGGCCGCAACGGACTGTGGCGCACGGGCGAAATTGGCGTGCATACTCGGACCAAGTGGGGTGACAACGCTGTGTGGGTGCGAGGCGACGAACTGCCGGCATCGGGGAAGAGAGAGAGAGAGAGAGAGAGAGAGAGAGAGAGAGA